TGGATCGAATGGTATGTCTATTTCTAGCTTTCTGAGGAAGCGCCATATCATTTTCCAAAATGGTTGTATCATTTTGCATTCCCACCAGCAGTGAGAAGCAGCCAAATCTTTAACCATTCATTATGTATAGTCTAACCTTGTTTCTACACTAACTGCTTTACTATTTGGGTTGTTTATGATACTGTATTTTTATCACTGTGCAAAGAACGTTATTGTTAAGTGCTGTCTAGGCAGTTCTGACTCATAGTGACCATATGTGCAACAGAAGAAAACACTACCAGTCCTGAGCCATCTGCACAATTGTTGCTGTGTTTGAGCCCATTGTTGTAGCCACTGTGTCGGTCCATCTCATTGAGGATCTTCCTCTCTTTCGCTGACCCTCTACTTTACCAATCATGATCCTTCCTGATAACATGTCCAAAGGAACATTAAGCATGGTGTTTTATTTATACTCATATCACAGAGTTGTCTCTAAAGATCCACCTTCCACCAATGCATTTTTTTTTAAATGGCTTCATTCCAAATAAAGACAATGGAAAGATTCATTGTTCTCTTCTTTCCTAGAAATCCAGAAAGGTGATGATCATCTGCTTGGACACTTGCAAAAAGAAAGAAGGTTGGATGTAATGGAACAATGCTGTGAACATAATGCATTGGAAAATATTGTTCATCAGCACAAAATTCAGTTTCCTTTAAGGGAAAATCATGGTATGTTTGACTTATATGAAAAAACTATGAAATCAAGTTTAACTTTACCAGCAGTTAACCAGAGAAAAAGCAATGAAATAAAAAACTTTCCTGAGCCTAACGGAGATGAGAATACCTTTCTACATGCTGACCACGAGCAATTTTGTAATGAAATGCAATTTCCCGAGAGTCAAAAATCAAATAGCGCTGAGTCCCAACTCATTAAGCATCAGAAAACTCACAAAATAGAAAGACGACATGTATGCAGTGAATGTGGGAAAACCTTCATCAGGAAGTCTTTGCTCATTGAGCATCAGGTCATTCATACAGGAGAGAAACCCTATAGATGCAGTCTGTGTGGGGAAACCTTTTTTAAAAAGTTCAAGCTCATTGAACATCATCACACAACTCATAAAGGACAAAAACCTTACAAATGCACAGAATGTGACAAAGCCTATCTTCATAAATCACAGCTCAATAAACATCAGAAAACTCATATGGCAGAGAAACCCTACATATGCTGTGAATGTGGAAAAGGCTTCATCCAGAAGACACATCTTACTATTCATCAGCGAACTCATACTGGAGAGAAACCATATATATGCAGTCAATGTGGAAAAGGCTTCAACCAGAAGGGAAGTCTCATTATTCATCAGCGAACTCATACTGGAGAGAAACCCTATATATGCAGTGAATGTGGAAAAGGCTTCATCCAGAAGGGAGATCTCACTATTCATCAGCGAACTCATACTGGAGAGAAACCCTATATCTGCAGTGAATGTGGAAAAGGCTTCAACCAGAAAGGAAGTCTCATTATTCATCAGCGAACTCATACTGGAGAGAAACCCTATGTATGTGGTGAATGTGGTAAAGGTTTCAGCCAGAAGTCATACCTCATAGCACATCAGAGATTTCACACAGGGAAGATTCCCTTTTCATGTAGTGAATGTGGAAAATCTTATTCCCAGAAGGCAACTCTCATTAGACATCGAAAAATTCACACAGGAGAGAAACCCTTTCAATGCAATGAATGTTGGAACGTCTTCGAAACGAAGCCAAAGCTCATTGTACATCAAAGATCTCATATAGGAGAGAAACCACATGGCTCCAATGGACGTGGACAAACTTTTGTCTATGCTTCTAACTTTTATTCACATAAAAGAAAACACAAAAGAGAGAAACATGTAGATTCAATCAAGGTGGAAAATTGTCCCACAACAAGTCACGGCTCATCACATACTAGTGATCTCATGCAGGTGAAAAGCCCTGTTAATATATCGACTCTCCAAATGCCTTCTGTAGCAGCTGAGACATCAGTAAACATCCGTGGGCTCATAACTAATAGGGACATAGTCCTTGTGGGACAACCTGTTGCTAGATGTGAACCCTCAGGAGATAACAGAGAATTTGTAGAGCAGAGAAACCTTACGAATTCAGTGAATGTGGTAGTGCCTTCACTGATCAATTATGTCTTATTTTATGTTACATAAACCCTGTAAGAAAAGTGTAGCAGGGGCATCTGGCCTGTAACTTCCCAAGCGTGAAGGAGAATCAAGATCAACAGCGCAGGCTGATTCGTATCAGGTGGAGGTTAGACATGCATTCTCCCTCCACCCGTTTTACCAGTTCTGAACCCAACTGTCCCTCCCATGGCACTCTGCTTCTCTGCTGGGTTCAGTAATTCATTGCAGTGATCACACCGAACTCACAGACAATACTCATGGGAAGTAAAACGTTACAGTTCAGTTTCAGGAATGCTCAGGATACAATTCTTTGGTCAGAACAGCCTCTTCTCAGTGTGCCTGCAGGCACACCTCTCTGTGGCCTTTTGGCCTCTCAGCCACTCAACTCGGCATCTGTCCTATTCGGGCAAGTGCTACAAAACTCTTCAGCTCTGTTGATAAGTGCCCTTAGGCATGCTACTCTGCCAGTAAGCCTCATGTCTGAAGGTGCTCAGGTTTCTCATTCTGTGGGCCAGGAAGCACACCACCTGTCTTCTGCTGATCTCCTAGTTCTGCTGTTACTGGTGCTGTCGTTTCTCTGCCACTGCTTCTCACTGTTTCTGGTGTTAAAGCTCTCCCTCACTGCCCTAGTTCTGCTGCCTCTGTGGACCTTCGCTGTCTTCTGTTACAGCTCCTCTCACCCTCTGTCTCTCTCCCCATGTCTCCCTTTAATCCTAGTGGGATGACAAAACTAACCTATTCCCTCATTAGGGTTCCATACATCTTACTTGCATGGTCCCACCCCCACAAGTGTGCCATGCATCTTAATTACATTATTCGCAAGCCATCAAATCCCCTTGGTGGGCCACAAGCACCTTATTTGCCTCGTTCCACCCAATCATTTGGTGAGAGTTACAAGACCATGGCAAGAAAGGCCATATAAAAGTGACACATTGCACTGCAAACCTGTAGGATAAACTCAGATACATTCACTGGGGACTAGGGTTGAGCAAAAATTTCTGCCTCATTGCATGGCTACAAACTGTATCCTGAGGGAAATATATGAATACAGAGACTGGGAAACCTGATACATTCATCCTATGTAAATATGTGTTTTATTATGGAGACATACTGTGATGTCAGCAGAAACACATATATGTCACTTGTGCCAATTAAATGAAAAACCACATAGTTGGTGGTTCCTGGGAAAGGAGCAATACTGAATTGGTGGGATACGGGGCATATATATGTCAGTTCAGTTTCCCCAGATCAAGTTGAAGGATTAACTGAAAACCGGATTGTCTACCATATATAATAGGACTTTATATTATGCAGAAAAAGGAAAAAATAGTCTTATGTTGAGTTTATTCATTAACAAATATTTGTCACATACTTCCTTTGTACTTGGCCCCATTTCCAGGAGCTGAGGATACAGTGGTGGATAAAAAAGAAAAAGCCCATTCTGCCGTCTTAGAGTATTGACTTCAATCATATTTAAGTGGGATCTTTATACTCCCACTAATCTAGTCAAAGGATGCCACGGTGCAGTGAGTTACTTATATGGCCCTTCTAGCCATGGTCTTTGTGACACACACACATACTGATTGAGTGCACTGTGCAAATAAGGTGTATCGAATTTGTGATGGTTGGGGTTATGTGTCAACTTGGCTAGGACATGATTCCCAGCATTGTATGGTTGTCCTCTATTTGATGTATTATAAATCCTAACCTCTACATATTAACAAGGCAGAGTTGGTGTGGAGTGTATCGAGTGCAGGAAGGCATGACTCAGGCCCCACCCTTACTCAAGTTATGCCCTTCCCTGGAGTGTGGCCTGCATCCAAGATACATATGTGGGTGCCCTGGTTGGGGGGCACACTGTTTTTCTGCATATGGATCCTGCATCCGGTTTGTGATCGTCTAACATCATTCTTGGGACTTCAGCCAGTGACCTACTGTTTGACTTGCCGATTCTGGGATTCACCAGCATTTGCAGCCCTTTGGGTCAGTAGCCTATTGTCTGACCTGATTCACCAGCTTCCGCAGCCTTATGAACCAGCAGCCTGTGTTCTGACCTGCCAGTTTAGGTTCGTCAGCCCCTGCAGCCACATGGGCTGGGGAGAAGCCTAAGCCTGACCCACACATTTGGGACATTCCAGCTTCCACAATCATATGAGACACTTCCTTGATATGGTTCATGAGTTTTGTGAGACGTTGTATCGAATTATGGAACCTAAAGATGGGAGAGAGAGTGCTGAGGGGAAGAGAAGTAGTAGATGTTAGAGATGATGGAGTGGTACAGCAGTTTAGAAAAGTTGGACATTTGGCATATCTTTAACCTCTGCCTTATGGGAACAAGCTTTGTGCTGATTCTTATAAAAGAAATTGCTCACTTAGATGCGATATCTACATTAGGTGAAATAGGCATGGAATAATTTGTACAAGGGGTTTAAGTTAGAACTTTTAGAAGTTAGAATTCTTATGACAATTTCTCGTTAAAATCTGACATTGAGTTAATTCTGACTCATGGTGACCACATGTGCTTGAGAGTAGAATTGTGCTTTAGGGTTTTCCTTGGCTGATTTTTCACAAGTAGATTGCTAGGTCTTTCTTCTGAGGCACCTCTGGGTGGACTTGAACCTCCAATCTTTTAGGTTTGTAAATGAGTGCATTAACCATTTAACTACGCACGGACTCTTGAGGAAAGACTCCTTTTAATGGTACTTAAGCAGCCTAGGAAACTTATTTTTTAATGTCCATGCCTTAACATGTAGATTATAAATTCTTTGTTTTTGTAACTGTTTACCCCCAAGTTATAAGTTCCTTGACAGTTTTTCTGAGTATTTATACCCAGATTATAAATAAATTGATAGCTGTAACTTGTTACTATTTAAAAAATAAAAAACAAAGATCATTTTCTTAGTTATTTAAAAATGGTGATGTGACAATATCTGACCTCCTCTGACTTCAGAAAGGGAGAAAGAATCAGCATCAGCATCAGCCAGAGGCTGATTCCTATGAGACAGAGGTCAGACATGCCTCTTCTCTCCACCATCCCTCCCGTGACACTTCTACTTATCTGCCGAGTTTGATTAATTCATTGCAGTGGCCACACAGAACTCACAGACCATACTCAAAATTATGGGGTTTATTAGGAAAGTAACAGGTTACCATTCAGGTTCAAGAACACTCAGGATACAGTTCATTGATCAGGACAGCCTCTTGTTAGCTGTGCCTGCAGGCACACCTCTCTCTGACCCCTCAGCCTCTGCCCTGCTTAGGCAATGTTAGAAAGCTGTTTTAGCTCTAAGTACCCTGAAGCACCACACTCTGCTGGTAAACCTTGGCCCAAAGGCGCTCAGCTCTAGCTGTGTAGGTTGGCAAACTTAGCTCCACCAAGTGCCCAAAAGTACTCTACTCCACCAGCAGTCTCCTGCCCAAAGGTGATCAGTTTTCTCACTCTGTGGACAGTAGCTGTCTCCTGCCAATCTCCTGGTTCTGCTGCCACTGTTTCTCTGCTGCTGTTTCTTGCAGTTTTCGGTATTACAGCTCTTTCTCTCTTGGTCTTCTGGTTCCAGAAACTTCTCAGTGCTGGTATCCTGGGTCCAGAAGACATGCTACACTCCTTGCTTGTCTTTCTTGATGGTAGTAAGATCCTCTCCTCCCACCTCTGGGTGAGATGGCTCATTTTAAGACTACCGGGATGACAAATCTGAGTAATCCATTTGTTAGGGTTCCATAGACCTTATTTGCATGGTCCCACCCACACACAGGTAGCATGAACTTTATTTGCATTATTAGCAAGCTGTCCAATCCCTCTGATGGGCCACAATTACCTTATTTGTATAGTCCCACCCAAGTTACAAGATGATGAAACAGGGCATATAAAAGTGATTTCATCACACTTGCAGTTGCACTAACTGTATTTCATGTGTTCAGAAGCTATCTGTGACTAGTGCCTGCACAATTGCACATTACAGACAATGAGCAAAACTTTCTAGCTCTTTATATGGCTGGGATATGTATACTAAGAGAAATCTCTCATCTCTATCCAGAAAAATTAAATTGGAGAGCACTGGTTACATGATTTCAGTGCAGTGAATTACTTCATATGCCCCTGTGACCATGCAAATAAGATGTATGGAACCCTAAAGGGGATTGGTCAATTTTGTCATCCTGTTAGGCTTAAAACAAGCTATTGCAGAGGTGGAGAGGAAGGGATCTCACTACCACCAAGTAAGAACAGACAAGAGCAGAGCGCACCCTTTGGACCTGGGATTCCAGTGCTGAGAAGCTCCTGCATCCAGGAGCCCGAGAAAAAGAGTGGTAACACAGAAGATGACGAGAAGCAGTGACAGAGAAACTGCAGCAGGAAACAGTGGCAAGAGATAGCATGGTGAGCTTGCCAGCTCACAGAGCGAGAACTGGGTGCCATTGGGCAGGAGGCTTGCTGGTGCAGTACGGTGCCTCTGGGCACATGGTGGAGCTAGATTTGCCAAACCACAGAGCTAGAGCTGAGCCTCTTCAGGTTGAGGCTTTCTGTAGGAGTGGGCTGCCTAGGGGCACTTACTGGCAGAGCTAACAGTTTTGTAATACTTCCCATGGCTCAGCTGGAAATAGGCTGTCCTGACTGAAGAACTGCATGAATTATCGAACCCAGTAGAGAAGTAGATAGTGATAGTTGGTGTCAGAATTGGTAAAGATGACAGAGAGAAGGCATGTCTGACCTCTACCTCACAGGAATCAGCCTTGGGCTGTTGATCTTCATTCTCCTTCCTCTTTGGGAAGTTAGAAGAGTTCAGATGCTGCCACCACACCATTCTTACAGTTGGTGTTAGAAGCAGGATTCTTTGCGATGGCTCCAGATTCATGGAAGCATGGGAGTTTGTAAGAGAAAGTGAAAGGGCTTGGGAAGTGAAACTTTTTATTCTTAGGTGGTTTCTTTGTTGTTTACCTGCAATGGCTGAAAGGAAAGTTATGCTGCAGCTGAGGGGGAAAAAGCCACATTTGGAATGGCTTCGGGCAAAATACATGCTGGTTAAAGGAGATGATTGATAGGGTGCCAGGGTCTACTGGTTCCACCCAGCCAGAGGCACAATGCTATATGCATATCAATGGAAAGACAGTTAAGGTATGGAGAAGAGAAGATGAAACTGGAATTTTAAAAGGGATTTATGCATTTATCTGAATGTACTGTGGATATTGAATATTTCTCCTACCCAATGTTATTAAGGGGCCCGGTGGTGCAGTAGTTAAACGATTGGCTGCCAAGCAAATGGTCAGCAGTTCAAATCCACCACCTACTCCTTGGAAATCCTATTGGGCAGTTCTACTCTGTCCAATAAGGTTGCTATGAGTTGTAATCGACTCAACGGCAACAGGTTTTGTTTTGTTTTCTTGTCAAGTTGTAAAGCAGACCTAAATGTATGATAGAAATGAATATTGGGTATTATAGATTACAGAGAGCGTGTAACTCCACCTTCAGCCAATACTTGATTGAATGGTCTAAAAGGGGAACTAGGATTTGCCTGAGGAAAACAGGCTGTTTGAATGCAGTAGCCCTGTGTATAGGTTGGGGGCTTAAGTGGAAAACCTGAGCTCCACCCAGAATTTGTGTTTGAAAACACATGTAGAACTACCTAGAACTGCTGAGAGAACAGAAGATTTGCATTTGAAGGAAGGACCTGCAGAGAAAAAATAACTGTTTTGCTTTTAGAATTTCGAGCAAGTGGTTTGCCTTTGTATGCAATAAGGCAGGGAAAGTTGGTGCCCGTTAGAACACACTTCCAGGACTGGAAGTTAAAGGGAGCCTGCGAGTAGATAGTGTGGTATGTTTGCCTCAGGTGACCACCTGGGTCTACTCATGATGGAAATGGGGGAAGTGCACCAATGAAGAGACGCACTGAGTTTTGACATTTTCCATTGGCACACATCGACCTAACCCACAGGGACTATGGATGAGAGGAGAGAGAAAGGGTTGGCGGGTCAGAAATATAGGAAGTTTTGTGGACTCCTGAGTTTACAGGTGAAGCCCATTGACCTAGCCCAGGGATGTAGGGGTGAGAGAGATGGAGAAGGGGCTGTCTGGTCTGAATCGCCAGGAGGTGTGTGTGAACTCTAAAACCTAAAGCTAGTACCCTTTGCAACCTAGCTTGGATGGCTAGAAATGAGTTGACCAGAACTCGACCGGATGAAGAAAAGGACACTGTGAGCTGGTATAGATTGCTGCAAATTTGATGACTTGCTCTGTACTGGACTTTGCTTATGGATGCAGATGCTCAGTGTTTTTATGGGAAAAGAACATTCTTCAAGGCCAAGGAACATGCTTAGAGTACTGGTTTGATAGAGACTGGCAATTTTGAAATTGGCTGTCTAAAACGGGGGGAGATAAAAGCATAAAGTGGCTGGCTTACTTGCTTTCGTGGGTGTGCTTACACTCAATGAGAAGGACAAGGGAGGATCACCACTGAATAGATTCCTCTTTTCCTGATGGGTCTGGTGAAGAGAGGGTGGGGAAAGATGCTGATAGGATTATATGATTCGTTTGTGAGTGTTGATTGTTAACAGAGTTAATTGTGATTGTAAAAACTGTGAGAGTAGACTAAGGGGGAAGCACTTGCTGGACTGATCTTGCTGCCACCAATCTGGACTAGCACAGCAGCTCAACCTAATTTTCCTTCCCAAGGTGGAAAAGTTTGGGTAAAAATACATGACAAATTGAAGGAAGGAGAAATAATAGCCGAAGGTAAAGGAATAAATAAATGAGTTATGTAGCAGGGGAAATCTAACAATATGCTGATACCTGGAGAGAGACTCAAAGCAAGGGAATAATCTTTTCTCAATTAAATTTTATCAGAGGCAAGAAAGGGTGAAGATGAGATGATTACAGAACCTGACCAGATCAGATGCATGCCTGCAGCAGACCTGAATGGCTGGTACTTGAGTAACCTCACCCTTAGGACTCTTTTGCCCTCCTGAAGGACTAATTGTTAATTACTGTTTTGGACTTGTGAAATGACTGAGAAGGGGAAGTTATCCTTCAAGTGTGAAAGAACCATGGCTAGAAAAGCCAGGGGGTGGCCTCTGGTGTGATGGATTGCTTTTGTGTAGCCTTTCTTGCCGTTGTCGTGTAACTCCCCCCAAACGATTGGGTGGGACCATGCTAATAAGATATATGGGACCCTAACGAAGAGATTCATCAGTTTTGCCATCTGTCATTTTGCTAGTCTGAAAATGAGCCATCACAGAAGCGGGAAGGAGAGGATCTCAACACCACCAAGGAAGAAGAGCCAACAGTGGAGTGTGTTGGATCTGGGATCCCTGTGCTAAGAAGCTTCAGGAACCAGGAGACAGAAAGAGAGCTGTGACACTGAAGACAGCAAGAAGGGGTGACAGAGAAACGGCAGCAAGAGAGACCAGCAGGAGATGGCACGGTGGGATTACTACCCCACAGAGTGAGAAAGCTGACTGCCTTCGGGCAGGAGTCTTGCTGGAGGAGTAGGTTGCCTCTGGGGACTTAGTGGAGGTAGGTTTGCTGACCCACGAAGCTAGAGCTGAGCACCTTCAAGCCAGGGTTACTGGCAGAGTGAGATGCCTAGGGGCACTTACCGGCAGAGCTAAAAGTGCTTTGTCACACTTGCCCGAGCAGGGGCAGAGGCCAAGGGGCCAGCTGAAAAGCATCTGTCCTGATGGAAGAACTGTATCCTGAGTGTTCCTGAACCTGAACTGTAACCTGTTACTTCCCTAATAAACCTCATAACTGTGAGTATTGTCTGTGAGTTCTGTGGGGCCATTACAGTGAATTATCGAACCCAGCAGAGAAGGAGAGAGTGCCATCGGAGGGATGGTTGTTGTCAGAATTGGTAAAAAGTTTGGAGGGTGGAGGCATGTCTGACCTCCGCCTCACAGGAATCAGCCTTGGGCTGTTGATCTTACTCCATTGTGAAGTTAAAGGAGGTCGGATGATTTTCC